CGGGGCATAAACGTGGGAACCGAACCGAAGTCGACAACGACAGTAAAAGCGAGAGTGACCATTATAGAGGATTTTGCTGTACGTACCGTTTTCCCGGGTACCATCCCGGCGAAGAAGGCAGTAGAAGAAGTTGCCATAAAGACTTTAATTATCGGAATATACAGCATATAGTTACTGAGAGATAAAGAGAACAGTCGATGCGATTAAGATGAAATTTACATACCTCGTGAGCGCTGATGGGTCCGTTTGTGGTCTCACCTTTGATTGGCACAAATGGACATACATTTCTAACAGGAAATGCGTACGATATGTGCCATTACGTCGGTCCGAGCGTTAACTGCCGATGGCAAACGGCGCAATCGTCGCCGTGTTACGCCGATTCCACTTTATTAAAATTTCTTCGGCAGCATCTGGCTACCATTAGCATTGCATAGACGCTTGGTAACGACCCGAACCACCACCGTGGATACACGTATAAATGCGAATATAGGTGCGTCTTTTTTTGCCGTTACGCTTAATTGGTGGAGGGACACTCGGTCGAGGGCAATTTAGAAAACAATTTCACCATAGCTATCATCAATAATACTACGAGCTCAATCTATTTCGATGCAATTTGTGGTAGGTTTTATAAAGGTCATAAATTCCGATACGAAATAACGCGTACAAGACACGTTTCCACCAGTGTTGCCGCACCGAAGAAAATAAATATACCAAAATTCGTACTGAAAATGAAAAAAATTTACTGAATTGAAGAAGAAAATTGGAGCCCTTTTTTTTAATAATAAGGTAAAACAGAACTTGCAAGGAGTATGAAAAATAAATATCACAAAAATTAATTTCAAACAATTATTAATAACTGAGAAAAGAAAGTTTTCTTTAAAATAGAAGCTAAACTAAAAGCTTCACGTTCAAAAAAAGTGGTACTGCATTCAATAAAAATGTACTGATTTCAGTACAGGGTGGTTCAAATTCGATGTTCGAATAGGCTAACTCGAAAACTATAAGAGTTAGAATAAAAGTAGCTGACATGTCATGATCTCGTCTTTTGTTTTTCCGCTAGAGGCCAAAATTGAAAATATCGTAAAACCCGCAAATGTAATTATCTTGGTTATTATTATAGGTGGAGTATTATAACTAAGGCATTATATGGACACTTTTTTAGAGAGAATTTGATGACGTAGTCAAAAAAATTTTGTCGGTTTTAGATTTTGAGATATTATCACAATTTTCGTTTTGTTAAATGGAAACAAGCACTGATTATTCGCTTAATAAATTCGTTATTTTTTTCTGACTATAAAAATATAGGGTTTGACAGGCCTATTTCTTATTGTTTTATAATAAAACTAAAAATAAACTTTTCTTTTAGTGACGTCGAAGAAATTAAATTTACAGTTTCCTGTAAATTACGGTTCTATAACTAAAAATTAAACAACATATTTCTGATATTTGAAACAAATATATTTGTTGAACTGTTTAATTTATATATGTTTTACACAAAAGTTGGAATAGATTGCATTATTTCACATTTTTTATTACGATTTAATATTATTTTTAAATGACTTAATAAATTATCGATAGATGGCGCTGATATGTTTATTTTTTTTAAATTCAAATAAACATAGCAACATTTGTTTGTATTCGAAAATTTTCTGTAGTGTCACTTTAAAAATCCTGTTTTTAAGATCAATTACGAAAATTTTGAAAAGTTTGACATGTTAGAATGTTACATATTAAAAAATTATTTGTTTTTAAATACTAGAAGTTATCTTCGTATTTAATTGTTAAGTTTTAGATTTTACCTACCGCCCCGTAACTTACAGGAAACTGTAAATTTAATTTCCTCGACGACACTAGATTGAAATTTTATAAAAAAAGTTTATTTTTAGCTTTATTCTAAAACAATAAAAATAGACCTATCGAACCCTATATTTTTGTAATCAGAAAAAAATAACGAATTTAATAAGCGAATAATCAGTGGTTGTTTCCGTTTAAAAAAAACGAAAATTCTCATTATATCTCAAAATCTAAAACCGAAAATTATTTTTTGACTATGTCATGAAATTCTCTGTAAAAAAGTGTCCATATAATGTCGTAGTTATAATACTCCACCTATAATAATAACCAAGATAATTGCACTTATTGGTTTTACGATATTTTCAATTTTGGCCTCTAGGGGAAAAACAAAAGACGATAGCGCTATGAGGTTTTCGGCATTAGCAGTTTCTCGAAAAACGAGATCATGACATGTCGGCTACTTTTTTTCTAACTCTTATAGTTTCCGAGTTAGCCTAT